ACTTCTCCATTTGTTGGCTTTTGCCAGAAAAACTGCACAATCATCTTTCCTCCTTGTCCTCAATTGCTTCATCCATTTTTTCGAGGATGGAGATGTCTGTAAGTAGCTTGAAGTGATTGTAAAGTTCCTTTGGTGTGAAGAGATAAGGCCAGCCCCTTCTCAGCTCCACTATTGATGGTGCTGGGCTTGCATTGATGGATTTACGCTGCAGGTAGTATGTTGCCTCTATGAGCTGCGTGAGGTGCCCTCTGTCTGCTCCTGCTGGACCCTCGCGAGCATAAAGCTCTTTCATTTCATTTTGCTTCTCTTCTAGACTGGCTTCAGTTTCCCCTTGAGGACAATCAGGTTGCCATCTGACGCACCCATACTGGTCTGACGGCCCTCTTGCACTGTTTTTAGCAGATGAACTAGAGACGCCTTTGACCCTTCTGTGTCTTGCTACCATGCTGTCACGGTTGAGGTGTTAAACACGAGTTTTCAGTTGGTTTACAAGAGAGGCATAACCACTCCCAATTCTGGTGCCATCCTTCAGAATGTCTGCAAAGCTTTTTGGATACCGCTTTACAATCATCTTGGCAATAGTAAGACGATTCGAACCATCTCCCGACGATCTCTAGGAGAAGGGCGCTGCTCTCTGGCTATAGCCATTTTTATTCCATGTGACATCTTGCTCCACGGTACCTTGAAGCTGTCAGGCCAAGTATTGAGGTCTACTGTGCTGGACCTGCTGTTTGTGCTGGCTGGACTTGGCGTGCTAGAGGTGGAGGAGGTATTCCAAAAAGATGGACTACTTGATACGTCTACAGGTGATGAACTGCTGGTCTCTGACTGCAGATCTTTGACACATGTTATCTCTGCTGAACACATTACAACAATGCAGAAATATTAGTGACAAGTTGTTTCAAATATACAAGCATCTATAGTAACAGCGTTCTACATTAATAAAATTACATACAAACATTTAATTTTAAAGTTAACTAACTTATACCAAAAAAATCAAAAGCCATCTTTTCTGACCAAACTTTTAATCACTTAACCAATGAGGTACATTACCCTCAGTGCTCCACGCTTGTAGTAGTTTGCGACACTGAATAGGTCTTAGGAGTTCCTGTAGATCCTCCTCTTTAATCAGCTTCAAATCTGACTCGCTTTCCACTCCTATGCTCGCCAGTTTCTCCAGTAGGGATGAAAGGGTTTGTTTTGGCAAGCTTGGTAGTACTGCCAAGATTGCCTCTCTTATCTTCTCTGCAGTCAAAGACATGATTCTACAAAGAAGGGAATGAGTGATGGAGAACTATTATTGATAAATCATATACCTTGTACTCTAGTAATGGGTAATAATCAAGAAGATCTTCTTGCTTCATGCAAATTAAAGTAGAGGTCTGTGCTGCTACTTCGAGTGAATAGACACCCAGATGAACCAACCTCTCCTACTAGCAATCCATCCTTATCCCTTCCAATGACTACATACATCCCCCTTTTGTACTTTGTACCTTTCATAATTATGTCATTAACAGCAATTGTATTGCTGGACACAAAATCAAATGGAGAAACTGCCTTTTTAATCTCATCATTGAAGTCACTGGAATAAAATTCAGGTCCCTTGTCAATCTGAATCACAGGAGGAAATATACTGCCAGCACCCAAGTATGCCTTGAGGAGTTGATGCCTTTCTGCTAGGGTTGCACATAGGTTTTTAAAATTGTGCAATTTTCGAGCACACTGTTTAAAATAAGTATGCTTGCTTTCGAATCTTAACGTCCACAAACGTATAAGAGGCCCAAACTTAATGATGAGTGCAGGGTAGTGACACAGATAGTGGTGTTTTGGCTTTAGGGGATGCTCTGGAAAGGTGTGAGCTCTGAAATCAATATATTCATCAATGAGAACTTTCAAATATGCCACCTGATCTGGAGTAATAACAGGTGCACATATGTAACCCACTATTTATCGCAGAAGCAAAACCAACTGCCATACTGTACTATCTTCTGGATTTTCAATTCTGTCCCCAGTTAAGAGAGGTAGTACTCTCAAAAGACACCAATTTTGCACAGCATGTCCAGACAACTTTTCACTGCCTGGGCTAATTTCAGGAGGTTTGTCGTTAGCATCAGCACCAAGATATTTAAACTGACTGATGCATCGGTTTAACTCTGCATACATAAAATGCTTTTCCTGAGTTACTAAATGATTAATATACAGAGCTAAGTCAAATGATACAACACCCTCAAAGAGATCATGACCCAGACATGGAGGTAAACCAGGCTGACACACATGAAAAAATCTAAGCTGGTTGAAAACTGAATCAAATTTGATGCCAAATGCACTGTCCTTGTCATTCACTTCTCTACCCTGTAGATTCTGTTGATAGGACTGGACAGTTCTTGTTGTACCAGTTGACAATGGATGTGACAAACGTTTCTCTGTCAATGTCACAAAATCGGCAAAAATATACACTCTTACTAAAATTTTCCATAAAGCCTCCAATATTGTGAGAGCCTAGATTATCTCCAGCTATGGCACACAAACCACCCCTCAAAACACGACCATCCTTCAGGACAATCCCACTATCCTCCAGCTCCTTAAGATCTATTATCAACTGCCTAAAAACTGCTTCTTGTCCAAAATGTTTAAAATCTTGTTCCTTGCACAAAAGCACAAGTTGCATATGATCAGTATTTGATCTGTAATGTGGTGGGATATCACCTAGAGTTGAATAAACAGCAAGTACCTTGTGCTTCTTTTTCCCTGAACCCAATGGGTTTACCACCTCAAATGAGTCTTGGTAGAGTATCAGGGCTAAAGATGACCCTTTGGTCTGAAACAGTTCATTCTGCAATACAACCTCTCCATCCCAAATATCTTGCAGAATATCAGGGTCTGTTACATGAGAATGCACATTCTTATACTGTTTCCAGACAGATTTAGACTCAAATAGGGAAGTAAGGGTTTCTTTTAAAGGGTTATATTGGGTAAAACACTCTTTTCCAGATTCATTTAAGCCTAAATATAATGGCATTGGTCCAACATAGTTGAAGCTGTTTTTGAACATTGTCTTCCTGCACTGATCTGTTCGTAAAAGCCTATTTCCAGTCTTAAGAAGATCTTCTTTTGCAAGTTCCTTGATTACATTTTTTATGGTAGTGTCATCGGTTCCAAGTAATGTCAATTTCTCAGTTAATTTTGCAAATACATGAGACTGTCCAAGGTCATGGATTTCTTCAAATCCTTCAATAACTGTCTTAATTACTGATGCAGGTAACAACAACTTTGCTTGAAGCTTCAAATAAAATAGTGTCAGGTTCTTAAAGAAGAGAGCTTCATCCACATTAAACATACCAGGGGAAACATCTGATTCACAGTGCTCGGGTTCATCATCACTGAAAGATGTATCAAGACTCTGAGTAGGCCTAACAGTTTCACTTGGGTTTACCAGTAGTTGTTCCTGAAGATGTTCAACTGAGCTGTTTTTGTGTGCTCTAGATACATGAGAAGCAAATGTGGATTTTACAGTAAATGTTTTTACACATCCTCTGAAAGGACAAACAGTTTTTCTGCCCTGTTGTAAATGGCCCTTCAAGTGAGAAATGAAATCTTTCAAATATCCACATTCAAAATGACAACCTTCTGTATGACAAATTAATTTTGAATCTGTTAACTGAAACTGGGAATGTCTGCTAGATCTTTGATATTCCTTGTGATCTCTATACAAATGAGATTTAAAAGCAGTAAATTTTCTAAATGAACGTGAACAATACCACAAGTAAATGTTTGGTTTGGTGCATTTCTATGTAACTTCATGTGCTGGGTGAAGGCTAGAAGAGTATTACACTCACTGTTACACAATTTGCAAATGTACATATCATTGATTTCAAGTTCAAACCTAAACTGAATATTAAAACCTCAACAAAACAAAATAGCTCATCACAGTGATGCTGGTTAACTAACCTACCTAAGCTGTAGGAAAAAAACTACAATCTCAGAAATGTCATAAATTCCTCCTGAAAATAATCCTGCAAAAAAAAATGGTCTGTGTTCTTAGTTAACAGGTAGTTATCGTCAAATTAATGATTTACTGCACTGGTTCTAAACTTTTTTTAAACTAATGAATGATATTACTCTAACTAAACTAATGCTAGCTTGAAATTAGAACATTCCTAGTTAATAGTCAGCTAGCTATATTTTCTCAGTTTCAAACACAACGTTGCCCGCGACGGTGGCTTTCTAAGTTAAAGAAAGACGCAAAGGAATTATTTTTTTTGTTTGAATGATCTGAAAACCTTACAACGTAAAAGCAACGGTTTGGGTCGACAATCGCTAGTAGCTAGCTAGGCTCTCAGGTCCGCTAGCTAGTAGCTAGCCATTTAGCTAACTGCAGGGCACACAGTTAAACCAACCATGAAATAAAACCAACAGGCTTGACAATGGTTTTCAACAACCGTTCGTATTTAGTAGTGATCAAACTCAAATTTTAATGTAACGTTGAACGCTGGATTTAGATCGGTAGCTAGCTAGCTAATTAACACAGCCAGTTCTGTGGCTGCAACACCAAGTAGCGCTAGCTAACTAGCTAGCTCGCTAGCGTTCTGGACCGATACCGATTTCAGCTCGCTGATAAACGTCATTTCACGAGACATACACAAATATGTTAAAGTGCATGAGCTATAATCCGTTTTTTTACATTACCATCTTTGTATGAAGATTTCTGCCACAGACGCGTCCCAATTTGACTGCCTAAATGTACACAGCCAAGCCAAGTTTGCTAGCTAGCTTTATAGAAAGCACTAACGCTTACATTAAGTTACATGTTTAGTATTTTCGCCAATTTAGGCAGGCTAGTGTAACATTACATGCATTTCGAAAACAAAGGTGTATTTTTATACTTACAAAGACTGCTTGTTTCGGCTGCTTGAGTTGTCCCGTGGTCCCACAGCACAGCAGTGGATTACTGGAATTATTCTTCTTTCCGGTGGAAAATCTCACCACCTGTTTTTTGCTCATATTTTACTGCTAAATATACAGTTGACAGTTGTAGTCAAAAGGTTGCCCAGGATGCATTGCGTTTTACAGTATTACAACGCAAAATCGTAAAACAGTGGTTTACCGTAAGATCTTACTGTAAAAATTACAGCAATTGGTTACAGTGTATACATCGCACTACCACGCCAATTTAATCTGTGATTATTATTTTTATAGGTGCAAAGCGATCGACCGCTGTGAATAATAGAGGGACCTAAAGCAATTACACTGTAAAAAATATTTGTGAATTAACAGTAAGATATCTGTATTTAATAAAGAAAATGGTCCGTTATTCCTAAATTATGGAAAAAGTCATTTTTACTGATGTAACTTTGCATTATGGGTAATTATAAGCATATTCCCGCTCTTTATGCTCCAACTGCTCTGGGTCCAGCCATGGGTGAGCTGTGCATTTGTACCTCTGTGGTAAAAATGTAAACTAAATAGTTATATGTGTGTATTATTTTACTTAATATTAGTTAGATAAACCACCTAACAGCTTAGCAAGTTTCATTACTGTCGTATATCCTCAGCTATTTAGGTAGCATTAGAAATAGCTAATGTTATACTTAGCTAGCTAGCATAGCAAGTTCAGTTATGCTGTGAAAATATGAAAAGTGGTATTTATTCTGCGTACATAACGCTACAGAAGTGAGTTTTGCTGGTCTTTGTTAGCCACCAAGCTGTTAGCTTAGCTATGAGCTACACAGCCCCTAACATACTTGAGCAACGTCGAAGGGCAGAGCAAGTTACACCATCGGAAAAAACATGAACGAACTCGAACATTATCATGTTTGCAGTCGGCCTGACAATGTTCAAGAAAATAACTGGCAAATGAATGACAGAGTAAATGGGAATGCAACATTGTAGAGCTTTTAATTAAACACTTGTTCGTGTTTGACCTGGCGGTGTAACTTACTCTAGGTTAGCTTGAACGTTGAACCGTGTTGGCTAATTAATACTAGCTAGCTAGCATTAGCTAATTTTAGTGGAGGTGGAGATCCTGACGCAAGACTTCAGAGTGAACATGATAAAGGATTGTCCCTAGCTCACCAAATGCGAGGCAGGCTGATGAATTTCTGTAATAACGTTTAATGGATTTATCTATAGTAGTCATGTTTAGTGTCTAACTGTGGTATGTTTGAGTTTAGAAGCGCGCTGGTCGCGTCATATGCGAGGCTTTGCAGGTCGCACAGAAATGGCTACCAGCAAACTTGCAGAGCATGTCGGAGGTGGTTTGCTCGCTAACGTAGGCTGTTTCTCACATGCAAATTAACAGTAATGCGGTCAGTTAACCAATAACAATAGATAACTTATTTATCAGCATAATACAGTATTTTCTGTCAAGCTGTGGAAACACGCGCCATCATCCCTTTACAAGTCCAGTCACCATACATCAGCATCGATCAGCATCAGCACTGATTATTGTAGGCACTGTTTCGTTTTCATGATAACACTATTAAACTGCTCAAACTCATTTTGAGTGAGAAAACGTTGTTTTTTCCTGAGCTTGATGTGATGGGGTGAGTTGGATCATTTGGCTCAGCTGTATGGGAACTCTTCGGCTCATCTTGTTTTTCCACTGTTTGCGCTCTCCTCTAGTCTCTGTGCCCTGTAGACTGTCTCACGCAGTCAGTGCATGGACTGCCGAGCTGTGTGTATTAACAAACAAACTCTCAGACGTGAGCCAACTTCCATCGTTCACGTAAAGGAGTCAACACGAGCCAACTCATTTGCGACCGACACATTTGGACTGCACAGCTTCGGTAAGAGCAGTCCACGTGAAGTTCAAGAAAGGAGGTAGCTAGCCAGCTATTAACGTTATGCTTATCTTCTGATAATGTCAGCGTCCAGTATTGTTTTGTCTGCATAATTATTAAACTTCTAAGATTTCACACTTTCAGAATTTGGTCTGTTTCATTAAGTTACTAAATTAATTAGCGAAGAAGCTCGAAGCTAGCTCTGTAGCTTGAGCATAAGCCGCTGTTCCGCCACGTGTGTACCGGCGGATAAGCCGTTGTTCCGCCGTGTGTACCGGCGGATAAGCCGCTGACCTGCTACGTGTACTGGCTAGCTTCGAACTTCTTCCTAGCAAAGAAACTAGTTTAGCTCTGTAGCTTGAGCAGTGTTAGCTAACCTAGCTAGCTAGCAAGCAGCAAAGTTTCGGACCTTTGTAAAGTTTATTTGAGGTCATCTTATTCTTTATTAATTTAACTTAGTTTAAAACGTTACGAATACAAGCTAGCCTATTAGCCCACCCATTTTATAAAATATATCTATAAATAAAATATTGCATCCTTAGACTCAGTTGCAGCAAGCAAATATAGCCAGTACAGTTAACGTTACTGAACTGAGGTGTCTGGCTAATGTTGTGTGAAGATGTAATTAACTTGTTTACTTGTGCTATTATAGAGCCGACAGTACAACAGCAAACAGGAGAAAGCCAGAAGATTTTCAAAAGCAAGTGGGGAGCTAGAATTGTTGATGTGGAAGCAGATGGAAAAGTGAGGTGTGTCACTGTGTTATTCCCTGGAGCAAAATGCATTCACATTTTATTGTGTACTCCACTGTAGTAATCTCTTTCTTTCCAATATAGTCATTTAGGAATTGATAAAAGTCAGCTTCCTTTCCTTCGCTTAATCAGTTTATCACATATAGGCAAGTCCATTCATTTAAACTGATGATATTAACGTATTAGTCTATTTTGCCATGTTTGACTAACATACAGTTCTTTCCATTTCCTAAACACATTTTCTTTCATCAAACAAACACTGAAAATTCATCTTTGTTAAAGACAGACCATTTAACTAGAGCAAGATGATATTGTGTGACATATGTGCTAAGACTTGCACTGATGTGTTAACATATGTGAGGCACATGCGGACCCACAGTTGCATACCCAATGCTTCTTTTAGGTGTGTTTATCCTGGATGTCACAGAACTTTCCAAAACTTAAGAACATTTAAATCTCACAGCTATCGCCACTACTGGGGCCAGTCTAGGTCTACACAGCACTGTGTTGTTGATTTAACTTGTCATGTTGGCTTGTGCAGAATGAAAAAAGTGAGAATACTCAGAGCTTTTTTTCACATTTGAAATTGCATATCAGAGAAGGGAAAGAGGTGGCATGTCCTTTCAGAAACTGTGACAAGACATTCAAAGTCCAGTCTTCATTCACATCACATATGTCAAGGAAGCATAAAAAGTCCCCAGAAGAGGGTTTGATTGACTGCATTGTTAATCCATCCAGTTCACAAGATATTGATGGGGATAGTGGTATGCAGCTTGATGATCCAAGTTGTGAACAGTCAGAAGTATGACCAGAGGCTGTGGAAGAAACAGTTTTTCAGAAACTTAGCAATGTTTTATCTTAAGTTGCAAGCCAAATTTCTCCTTCCAGCCTCTGTGATTCAGACTATTATAGAGGACTACCAACAGATTCATGATATAAGTCAGTCACATCTTTTTCAAACTCAAGAAAAAGCTAGTAAATCTTGGTCTTGCTGAAACTGACATAGAGAATGTGACTGATACTCTAAAATGTGATGATCTTTTCAGAAAATGTAATACCCAAACACTTAAATCTGATCAGAGAAGAAAAACTGTTTTCAAAACTAACTTTCATTATGTTGAGCCAATGCCCATTTGTTTGGGCCAAAATGAATCAGGCAAAGAGTGTTTTGTGCAATATATCCCCATCAAAGACACTGTTGCATCTATTCTGCAGTCTAATGTGATGGAACACTGGCATTCAAACACCAATGTCATCTCAGAGTATGTGCTCAGAGATGTGTGGGATGGCACAGTCATTGAAAATAACAAGATGTTTGAGCTAAACAATTCGTCCGTAGGCCTAATTCTTTATCAGGATGCTTTTGAGGTTGTAAATCCGCTTGGGTCAGGGACACAAAGTCCTTCCAGTATATGCCACTTTTGCTAATATTTTACCCTACAATAGGTCAAACATTGATCACATGCAACTGGTATTGCTATGTAAAGAACAGGATTAAGTATTTTGGCCAAGAGATAGTGTTTGGCTCTCTGACAAAGGACCTAAAAGCTCTTGGGACAAGTGGCATTCCAATGCCTTACTTGGCTTTACAGAGAATTTCTGCAACAGTATACACATCTGTAGATATTGTGAGATTGACCGTGCAACATTTGCAGCAAATCCTCTTGCTAAGGGCCAAGATCGTACAGAAAAGTCATATCAGGAAATCAATTCAAATTTGACTCAGTTTTCAATGACTTGACATATTTTCATGTATGCCAGCCTGGGTTACCTCCTTGCTTTGGCCATGACCTTTTTGAGGGCACTGTTTCTTTTGATTTGGCACTTTACATTAAACATCTTGTCATTGTGGAGAAACAGTTCACATATCTTGATTTGAATCGCCGCATAACACAGTTCAAATATCTTGGTAGTGATGCAAGCAACAAACCCTGTGAGGTGAACCCAGGTGCAGAGAAGCTGTCTGGACATGCAGTCCAGAACTGGTGCTTTCTCAGGATGTCACCCGTGTTAATTGGTGACAAAATAGTAAATGCAGGTGACAGTGAGGTATGGCAGCTAATTTTACAGCTCAGGGAGATTGTGGACCTCATTGCTGCTCCAGCTATTTCCAGGGGGCAGGTAGCCTATTTAGGGGTCCTAATAGAGGAGTATTTGGATTTTAGAATAAAAATCTTTCCAGATCACCCGCTTAAGCCAAAGCACCACTATATCCTCCATTATCCTGAACTCATCTTTCACTTTGGACCACTCATCCACTTGTGGACATTAAGGTTTGAAAGTAAACATACATACTTCAAGCGATGTGCAAGAAACTGCAAAACTTTAAAAAAAACCTATGCAGTACCTTGGCAGAGAGAAATCAATTTTTGCAACCTTTTCTAGGTGCTGGCCCCCGTTTCCCACCTGATGTTGTGGTGGAAAGATGCACAGAGTTTGTCTTGAAAGACTACAATGATAACATCAGACAGTCAGTTGCTCATTACAACTTTGATCCTCTACACACTCTGGTTACCCATGCTGTGTCAGTAAAAGGGACTGAATACAGGAGTAAAAGGTTCGTTGTGATAATTCATAACGATGACGGCCTTATTGTTGGTAAAATTAAACAGGCTCTTATTCATAGGAGCTCCTGTGTTTTTTTATCATTACTGAACAATATCAAGCTGTGCGTCTGCCAGAATTTGGTGTTTATTACATTAAACCAGTGCACGGAGCCTACTGCTGTGTTGCTCATGAGAAGCTACTTGACTATTACCCATTGACACAGTACACTGTTTGGGGAATGCCACTTTTAATTCTTCATCATTCTATCCCAACCTATTAGCATATGTCTTCACTGGAAGAGAATA